CTGACACCATCGAGTGTGCCACGTATTCGCTTTCTGACCTACTAAATAGCGTACTCACCTCTGTGGTTCGGATCGGGTCTTTATTGTGTAGTGCTGTAGAATGTGTTAGTGCAGAGTACGAAATTCCAAGTAGGACCAGGTTATCCGTCATAATTCGGTTGAGGAGCGAGGTTGGGGGTGAACTGATGCCGCACCAGACCACGGATGCACTCGGTATGTGCTGGTTTGGGCGCATAGTGTCTTCTTTGATGTACAAACACGACATGTAGTCTTTTGAGCTCTTTTTAGGAAGGGAAATCTAGCCCACAAATCTCCGTTGCATCGTATCGGTTGCAAATGAGTCTTCACACGGCCGAATTCGGGGGGGGGTTTTTGGTGTTCCAAGCACCAGTATTCTTCTGTCTGTTCGTCAGTCTACAATTGACAATAGCATCCGCGTCTGCACTCCTGGTTAATATTATACTTTTACCATTGTGTCTAACAACTCTTTTGCTAGAAAAAAATTGGTATCTGACACAGTCCAAGGGTTGTCATACAAAAGCCTACTGGTATACACAGAGTTAGTAAGGGAAAGATCTATAATAAAATCATGGATACGTAGCTCCCAGGATCTAGTGAAGTGGCCTTCCTCTATCGATATGGTATTACTACGTAAATTATTGTTAATTTCGACTGCAGCGCGTCCCTTATTATAGTAGTCGAAATATACTATTGGAGACTTAATTTGGTATCCTTTGCCATCCGTGAATCTATACATGCGCTTGCCTTTCTATACCATATGTAGCAGCACAGCTACCAGTGTACTGTGCATCCTTAAAAGCAAGCCAATAGAAGTCTACCTTACCTGGCACGGCCTTTCCATCGTAGTTGAATAAGCCTTGTAATATTCCCGCTTGAAATCTTGTCTGCTATCTGATTCTTAATTTTGTCTCCGGGAATTCCTTTCGGCCAGTTGCCACGTTTTTTTGGCGATGAACATACCATACAATCCAAAAAAAAAAAGTAGAACGTGCAGCACCCGCAATACAGAGAATCTACTATCCATTATAACTTTTCTACCGCTTCCCCGAATACCATCTGTCAGCCGAATAACTATTTGTACTGCCGAAAACTCATTCTGATAGGAAAGTAGGTAAATTCTAAGTATCGTGAAAATATCAAAGTAAATAAACAAAATGAGACTTTTAGTAAAGTTAGGTATGCCTCGTGAAAACAGTAATACTCTGAAGGATTGTGAGGCTGAGACATTGCCTATATATTATCCTCTCAGTGTAAGATTCGGTCTAATAAAGGCGATACTTAAACCCCCGCCACAGTCCCACGTCCGCGAAAAAATATCGGGCCAGGCCGAATCCCCAATTGAGACGTTCGCCCCCAACGACTCCTTACCCAATGACCAATGGAAATTGGACATACAAAAATCTATCACAAACCTCTCTGCCCGGGTCAGTACTCTACAGGCCAATCTCAATCAAATTTTGGGACCGGCTCTAACAACCCCGAACAATGATGGGCCCATCTCCAAGGAGCCTTTGGCTGATGACCAAAGGAAATCAGCCATACACCAAATGCTCACTAACCTCAGTGCAAAAACAACCAACCTTGAATCCGAACTCCGGGACCTTAAATCCCAAACCCGTGCACCTATAGATGAAAACACATCCGACACTTTCCGATTTGGCTCCACAAGCCCGCCTGCTCCGCCTGCAAAGTCCCAATCGCAGCCGCCAGTACCCGAACAGCTTTTGACGAAAGTGGTGGGCCGCCCGATGCCGGACAAAACTCTTCATGAAATGGATGACATAACTCCGGTATGGCTCTTCTTCCGAGCAATTTTCCCTACGGCAAGCCCCCATCCCAATCAGTATTTGAAAAATACTGACATGCCCAACCAGCCCTCAATCGCCACCACTTTCTTTGGTATCTTCCGTCTAAATCGGTATCTCAACCAAATTTCCACGACGGACTCTTCGACGACAGGCAATGATATAGAAATGGCTGACATCGTCAAAGAGGAGAGCCCAGTAGTATTGACCGATGATAAACAATGTTAGGACCAATGAGGATGACGCTCTTCAACCCACAAGGACTCAACATGGACAACGCAGCACATACAGGTAAGTGTTTGAACGTTATATCGATTTTAAGTCAGGTTGATGTTATGTGTGTGGTTGAAACCTGGCATAACACCACATTTCTGAATCATATACGCTCGAACACACGCTATCATATACTACATCACACTACACGGCATAATATCTTACACCCTTCACACTGTGGTATTGGTATCTTTTCCAAACACCACCTATCGAATTTTCAACTTGTACACTCTTCACCGTACGCGGTGTTATTTGTGTGCTTTGGCGTTCATATGGCCGTGTTCTACTTTCCACTCAAATCGCTTACTGAAGAAGATGTCAGGCGATATATAAATCCCCCCGAGATTGGCGGTTTCCAACCAGATGTCGTGTGGGGAGATTTCAACTTCAAAGCCCGGAAGTATGGCCACGCATCTACAAATCACGGACTATGTATGAAAGCGATTGAGACTACTCTGCGTAATACGTGGCACTTGGACTACCTCTATGCTGGCGGCTCAACTGGTACTGAACATGCGTATCATCGACCTACCACCCCCGCCTCCCTCCAAACTTATAAGCTGACGGACTACAGTATCTGTGGTGACCACACCTTTAGACTCGATCTCCAGATACTTCCCACGAATCAAATCTATCGGCCCCAACAAATGCCAGCAATGCCGCCGCCTCCGGACCAACGCCTCCCCTCCCATGGATATAACCGATATCGCCATCGACTGTATCACCTACGCAACAAATCCCGCGCGCGACTATTCCAAGCCGAAATCCGGGCGCATCAGAACCTACTACGGTCGTATCTCACTTTACATGAACCAGCGGAAGGGCTGCTATGAATCCTCTACCGCATCTGGCGCTATGCCACTAACCCACAAATCTTTGGAGGGTTCTATTTTGACTTAAACAGACCTTGGTTTCAGCGGCTGCCAAACCACTCTTTCTGCCCACGTCTGACCGCCCAAAGCAATGCTCAAATGTTCAAAGATATTGCGTACCAACGACGGTCTCCACGCCAACCCTGCATACCGGGTACCGATGACACAGGCGCTACCCTTGCTGGCTACTTTGAGGCCCTATTCAACTCTACAAACCCGTACGTGGTTCCACCGGATACCGGACCCTCTCCTGATGTCACTTCCACCATACGCCCCGACGATGTAATGGAGGCAATACTACGCTATCCCAATAAGGGACCTGGCCCCGACGGGATCCACATCCTCCTCCTGAAGGCCGCAGTGGAGCGCTCTACCGAACGCCATAGCCCACTGATTAGACTCCTTGCCGAAGCATTCACTGAGCTACTGAAGGCGGGTACCTTCTCCGCAGCCCTGAACTACAGCCTCCTGACAGCGCACCTAAAGAAAGCCGATGCAGATATCGCCTCCCCCGCCGACTTCCGCCCCATCACGCTTACGCAAATAGTCAGACGCATCTTTGAAAAGTGCTTTCTTAATCTGATTACGAGCCACCCCGGCTCTGCTACCCATGCTACCCAAGCTGGCTTCAAATCACGGTACTCCTGTCATACCCAAGCACTTGCCGCCATGGAATCTGAGACACAGTCAGAAGAGGAGTGGAACGACGTCTGTCTGGACATAACCAAGGCATACGACAAGGTCGCTCTCCCATGCCTATGGGTACTTCTGCGTCACGCTGGAATGCCTGAAAACTGGATCAACTGCCTCCGCGCGCTGTTTGGGAGGGTCCCTACCCGAGTGACATACCGCGGCACGCTCTCGTCTCTATTCCATAGAACGAATAGCATCCTACAAGGCTCAATCGTTGGCCCCCAGCTCTTTATTATCTACATGGATTCCTTAGCTGTCACGCTAGCACAATTTCGGCCCAAACTCCTCCGCTCTTATTTATTTGTCGATGACACACGGATCCAAGCCCCTCGATCGGTTTCGCTCCAGCCCTTCTTAGATGACATT